TGCGCGTGTGTGTGCTTGTGCGTGTGTGTTTGTGCGTGGTGCGCAGGTGCGTGTGTGCGTGCGTGTCTCTATGTGTGTGTGCGTGTGTGTGCGTGTGTGCGTGTGTGTGCGTGTATGTGTGCGTGTGTGTGTGTGTGCGCGTGTGTGTGCTTGTGCATGTGTGTGTGCGTGTGCGCGGTCACGTGTGTGTGTGTGCGGGTGTGTGCGCGGGTGTGTGTGTGTGTGTGCAAGTGTATGTGCTTGTGTGCTTGTAAGCTTGTGTGCGTGTGTGTGTGTGTGTGCGTGCGTCAGTGTGTGTGCTTGCGTGTGTGTGTGCGTGTGTGTGCGTGTGTGCCCGGGTGCGTGTGTGTGTGCGTGCGTGCGTGTGTATGTGTGTGTACACGTGTGTGCGTGTGTGTGTGTGTGCGTGTGTGTGCGTGTGTGAGTGCGTGTGTATATGTGTACGCGGGTGTGTGTGTGTGCGCGTGTGTGTGCGTGTGTGTGTGTGTGTGCGTGTGTGTGTGCGTGTGTGCGTGTGTGTGTGTGCTTGCGTGTGTGTGTGTGCGTGTGTACATTCGTGTGTGTGTGGCGGCATGAGTATGTGTGTGCGGGTGTGTGTGTGTGTGTGCGTGGGTGTGTGGTGCGCGGGTGTGTGTGCGTTCGTGTATGTGTGTGTGTCCGCGTGTGCGTGTGCGTGTGTGTTCGTGTCTGTGTGCGCGGGTGTGTGCGTGTGTTTGTGCGTGTGCGTGTGTGTGTGTGTGTGCGCGAGTGGTGTGCGTGTGTGCGTGTGTGTGCGCGTGTGTGTGTGTGTGTCTGCGTGCGTCTACGTGTGTGTGTGTGTGTGTGCGGGATGAAAGTGTGTGTGCGTGTGTGCGTGTGTGTCTGTGTGTGTTCGTGTGTGTGTGTGCGCGCGTGTGTGTGTGCGTGTGTGTGCGCGTGCGTGTGTGTGTGTGTTTGCGTGTGTGTTTGGGTCTGCGTATGTGTGTGTGTGCGTGCGTCAGTGTGTGCGCGGGTGTGTGTGTGTGTGTGCGCGTGTGTGTGCGTGTGTGTGTGTGTGTGTGCGTGCGCGGGTGTGTGTGTGTGTGTGCACGTGCGTGCGTGAATGTGTGTGTGTGCGTGTGTGTGTGTGTGCGTGTATATGTGTGTGTGCGTGCGTGTGTGTGGGTGTGCGTGTGAGTTGTGTATTGGTGTGTGTGCGCGTGTGTGTGTGTGCGCGTGTGTGTGTGCTTGTGCGTGTGTATGTGTGAGTGTGCGGGTGTGTGTGTGTGTGTGCGTGTGTGTGTGTCTGCGTATGTGTGCGTGTGCGTGCGTCAGTGTGTGTGCGCGGGTGTGTGTGTGTGTGTGCGTGTGTGCGCGCGTGTGTGCGTGTGTGTGTGTGTGCGTGCGAGGGTGTGTGTGTGTGTGTGTGCGTGCGTGTGTGTGTGTGCGTGTGTGCGTGTGTGCATGTATGTGTGTGGTGTGTGTGCGTGTGTGTGTGCGTGTGTGTGCGTGTGTGTGTGCGTATGTGTGTGTGCGCGGGTGTGTGTTTGTGTGTGCGCGTTTGTGTGTAAATGCGCGTGTGCGTGATTGTGCGCGTGAATGTGTGTGCGTGCGTGTGTACGTGCGTGTGTGTATGCGTCTGTGTGCGCGTGTGTGTGTGTTTGTGCGTGTGTGTGTGTGCGGGTGTGTGTGTGCGTGTAAGCGTGAAAGTGTGCGCGTGTGTGTGTGTGTGCGTGCGTCTGTGTGTGCGCGGGAATGTGTGTGTGCGTGTGTGTGCGTGTGTGTGAGCGTGCGCGTGTGTGTGTGTGTGCGCGGGTGTGTGTGTGTATGTGTGCGCGGGTGTGTGTGTGTGTGTGCGCGGGTGTGCGTGTGAGCGTGTGTGTGTGTGTGCTTGCGTGTGTGTGTGTGTGCGTGCGTGCGTGTGTGTATGTGCGTGCGTCTTTGTGTGTGCGGGTGTGTGTGTGTGTTTATGTGCGTGTGTGCGCGGGTTTGTGTGTGTGGGTGCGTTCGTGTGCGTGTGTGCACGTGCGCGTGTGTGTGTGTGTGCGTGTGTGTGTGCGCGGGTGTGTGTGTGTGTCGTGTGTGAGCGCGGGTGTGTGTGTGCGTGTGCGTGTGGGCGTGTGTGTGTGTGTGCGTGCAGGGGTCTGCGTGTGAGCGGGTGTGAGTGCGTGTTTGCGCGTGTGTGTGTGCGTGTGTGTGCGTGGGTGCGTGCGTGTGCGCGTGTGCGCGGGTGTGCGTGTGTGTGTTTGTGTTTGTGTGCGCGTGTGTGTGTGAATGTGCGCGGGTGTGCGTGTGGGCGTGTGTGTGTGTGCTTGCGTGTGTGTGTGTGTGCGTGTGTGCGTGCGTGCGTGCGTGCGTGTGTGTATGTGCGTGAGTCTGTGTGTGTGCGAGTGTGTGTGTGTGTGTGCGTGTGTGTACGCGGGTGTGTGTGTGTGTGTGCGTTCGTGCGTGTGTGTGTTGGTGCGTGCGTGTGTGTGTGTGTGTGTGTGTGCGCGGGGGTGCGTGTGTGTTTGTTGTGCATGTGTGTGTGCGTGTGTGTGAGTGTGCGTGTGTGCGTGTGTGTGTGTGTGTGCGTGCGTGCGTCTGTGTGCGTGCGCGGGTGTGCGTCTGTGTGCGTGCGTCTGTGTGCGTGTGGGCGTGTGTGTGTCTGCGTGTGTGCGTGTGCCTGCGGGACCTCCGCCGCGCAAGTCGCCACCGCTTCGTGGCGCTGGCGCGCCGACAAGCAGTGCTTGCCCACGGCGGCCCCGCACCGGCTCCCAGGGCGGAAGGCCGAGCCCCGTGCGGCGGGAGCCCATCGAGGCCCCACCCGCCTGCTGGCGGCGAGCACGGGGGGGCAGTGAGAGGCGAGCGAGGGGGGGGAGCGAGAAGGCCACGAGGCTTCTCAGAAGCCCTCGCGCCTTCTGAGAAGACATCTGTGCCTTCGGGGAAGGCTTGGAACACTTCTCACAAGGCCAGGGGGCCTCCGAGCCTTCTGAGAAGGCCCGCCCCTTCTCCACTCTACTGGGCTTGCCGCCGATGTAGGTGCACGGAAAGGCGACACCGCCGCCGCCAGCGCGAGGCGCCAGGGAGGGCCGTCCTGGCGGCCTCTCCCCTCCACCCTCTCGCTCGAGACATCCCCCATGCCAAGTTCGGGGAGGCGCCGTGGACCCCCTCGCTTGAGGTGCCCCCCCCCCCTGGTGGTGGTAGTGGTGTCGCCTCTCCCTTCCTCCGACAGTCCTGTGGTGCATGTCCAGCACGGTCTCCCTGCTGGGCCGCATCGAGCCCTCAGGCAGCACGTGCACCTCGATGGTCCCGTCCTCCAGGCCGACGAAGAACTGCCTGCTCACTTCCTGGGAGGCTCGGGCAGCGGAGAGCCCCGGGGGGCAATAAGATCTGGCCCGCGCCTCCCCCCTGTAGGACGAGAGTGAACGACCAGGACAACAGCGGACCGGGATGAGGAGGAGGAGGAGGAGGGAGGAGGGAGGAGGAGGAGGATGAGGAGGAGGAGGAGGAGGGAGGAGGGAGGAGGAGGAGGAGATCTCTGAAATCAGGCGGTTCTGGAGGATACATCGGGCGCCGCGGCCGTTCCCGAGCGTCCACGACGCTCTGGGTGCGTTCGTGTGCGCGCCCCGGCCCCGCCCGAGCTCGGCGGCCGCTCTCGCGGAGACGAAGGCGGGCCTCGGCGGCGCGGCGGGGTTCCGAGGCGCAAGGGCGGACTGAGATGCGCGGAGACGAGCAGGGCGAGGAGGAGAGGACGGGGAGAGGCGCGTGCCACGACGGGAGAAACGAGCGTCGCCCGGGTGCGCGATACAGCTGCGAGGGCCTTGGACGGCCATGCTGACGTTCTTCGAGCGGGGCTGGCTGGCCAGCGAGCCGAAGAGGCAAGAGGGCGTGTCCCCCTACAGGGGGCCTTCGGGCGAGGAATAAAAAACTACGGGAACACATGTCCCCCACATCTGCAAACACAGTAAAAAACAAGACCGCCCCCCATTTTTTTCTTTGGACTGTTTCTGAATGTTCATCCTGTAGAGGGACAGGCCCGACTTTAACCCTAACGCCGCGCGCGTTCATGTTGCACAGTGGCAGCAGTTTCACGGATTGAGCCGAAGGGCAACCTGGGAAAGTTGCTCGTCCTTCCCATGCGCTTTGACCGCACCCACGTGTGCCGATCCTGGCTTGGGCCTGTGGCGCGCGCCTTCCTGGCTGGGCCACCAAGAATGAAGGGGCCCACAGACACACAAATGAATGCACACAAATAAACATATTCCCAATATTCTCCTATATTTTCTGGGTTTGTGTATTCCCCCCACTTCCCATATTTTCCCATATTTTCCTGGGGATCGACGATTAATTGTGTCTGTGTGTTTCTTCCCCTCCTGAAAGAGGGCCCCTATTATTGACCTCTGGGGCGTAGGATGGGCCTGGCCAGGATCGATGCAAGCGGATAGCGAGGATGGCCAGGATGGCCTGGCCAGTACCCCTACGACAGGTTCGCGTCGTGTCGACCCCAGCGCTGGTTCCTGACACCGCGGGGATCGCTCAAACTTGAACGATCGGCCGTTCCATTAGTGCCGGATCGACCGATCGACCGTACCTTCTGTGCTATCTGTTCAGCCCAAGGTCTTTCCTTAATTTCGGCATCTGGGAACCTTTCCCGGGCCGCAGGACCATCAGCGGACGACCCGGTGAAAACCAGCCAGCCCGGAGACGGGGTCGGGCGAGCTCTGAAAGCCCCGCGGATTGAAAAATCCAATCCGCCAGCTAGAGGTTAAGGCGCCCTCCTCCCTCGCCCACTTCCCAGATCTCCGACGTTCACATTTCTTCTGAAAGTGGGCCCGACAGGCCTCGACCCCTTCCAGCCCAATTGCAATGTTTCGTGCGGGATCGTTAAATCACAGACCCAGGGCCTTGAAACGGCCCCTGGGTGCTAGCAGTAATATACCAGAGAAAAAACCCAATCAGTAGAGGCCTTGACAATTTGGCGGGCGCGCTGCCTGGCCGCACTTTCACTGGGAGACCCAAAGAGGCCAAAAGCACGGATTCCTCGTCCGTTCGAAAAGATTGTGGCGTTTTTGTTTTTTCGGGCATCCGTCGGCCGCAAGGGCCTCCAACATAGACGACGTGGGAAGGCCCCTGGACGGCCCCGAACAGTCCCAAGATGACCCCGCGACGGCCAGGGAAAGAACCTCCACGCGGCAAAAGTAGCCGCAAAATGGCGCAGGTGAGCACCACCACGGCTCAAGGGGACACCTTCAGTACAAGGACTGACTGGGGAAGATCTATTACAATGAACGTACACGTGTGAAGATGCATGTGCTTCAAGGCATCCGCACCTCGCCAAGACCCCAGAACCAGGCACTGAGAACCCATGGGCGCAACCAACCTTACACTGCCGGGAACCCTGGCACCACAACCCTGGGACCCAGCCGCCCACCGAAACCAGTCCGGAACCGGATATGGGAACCCTGAGCTCGGAACTGGGAGCCCAGTGCAAACACTGATTGGGGAACTAGAATAGAGGCCTCCTAGATGGGGTCGGAGTGGATGGGGTCGGAGGATCGCGCCGCATCGGCGATACATCGCCGATGCATCGGCGATGCACTGGCGATGCATCGGCGACGTCGGCGTGGGGAAAATCGGGCTCCGCATCGAGCCGCATCGGCGATGCATCGTCGATGCGGCGCGATCCTGCGACCCCATCTACTCCAACCCCATCTAGGAGGCGTAGATAGAGGGACCTCCACCGGGACTCTGGTCAGACGAGGAGGAGGGAGGAGGAAGAGGAGGAGGAGGAGGAGGAGGGAGGAGGAGGGAGACGGAGGAGGAGGAGGAGGAGGAGAGAGGAGGAGGAGAGGAGAGGAGGAGGAGGAGGAGGTGGAAGGGCTGGATCCTGGTCTTCCCCCTCGAGCCTCGGCCTCCGACGCCTGTCCGAAGGCGCGCTGCGGCCAGAACTTCGAAGGCGGAGCCGGCCGTGGCGTCAAGAAGACTCCCCGAGGCCCCGAGTCAGCCTTGCGGAGGACCCGACCATATGCAGCTGTGGGCATCGCAAGCACGAGTGTCCTCTGCGGAGGAGGAGGAGGAGGAGGGAGAAGGAGGAGGGAGGAGGAGGAGGGAGGAGGAGGAGGAGGAGGAGGAGGAGGAGGAGGAGGAGGGAGGAGAGGGAGGAGGAGGAGGGAGGAGGAGGAGGAGGAGGAGGAGGAAGGAGGGGAGGAGGAGGAGGAGGAGGAGGAGGAGGAGGAGGAGGGGGAGGAGGAGGAGGAGGAGGAGGAGTTTTTGGAGGGCGTGGCGCGCGAAACGCGAGGATGTGCCAAATGGGGATGGCGGCGGCGCGCGGGCGCCGCCACTGGGGCCTTCGGTGGAGCTCCCTGCAGGGGCCGTCGGCGCAGCTTCCTCTGTTCGCGATCGGTTCAATTGATAGAGGCCTCCTAGATGGGGTCGGAGTAGATGGGGTCGGAGGATCGCGCCGCATCGCCGATACATTGGCGATGCATCGGCGATGCACTTCCGACGTCGGCGATGCATCGGCGACGTCGGCGTGGAGAAAAGTGGGCCCCACATCGAGCCGCTTCGCCGATGCATCGCCGATGCGTCGCCGATGCGGCACGATCCTCCGACCCCATCTACTCCGACCCCATCTAGGAGGCCTAGAACTGAAGGGGCCCAAGGACACACAAATAAATACACACAAATAAACACATTCCCCGTATATTTTTCCATAGTTTGTGGGTCTCTGTCTTATTTTGTGGGTTTCTGTCTTCCCGCCCCCTCCCCATAGTTTCCCAGATTTCCTGGGGGATCAAGGATTAATTGTGTCTGTGTGTCTCTTTTCCTCCTGATCAATATCAATCGGGCGGGGTAGCGAGAAAAACTGGACTAATAGACCGTCCTGGATGGGATTTCTCCTCGTGTCCTCCCTCTTTGCCCGCGCGCTCCTGTGTCCCAGGCTGCGCACGCAGCGCACCGCAGTCCCCACGGCGCGCGCCGGTCGCCCCGAAGGGGTCCCAGCGATGCGCGCGGGTCGTCCGCTGCGCGAGCAAAGAGAGCTTGCTGGCTGGCTGATAGCGGGCAAGGCTCTGGCCGCCGGGCAGAGCGACGATGCTGCCGCTGGGGCCTTCGGTGGAGTTCCCGATGGGGCCACGAAGCGTGTAAAGAGGCGTGCCGAAGCGGATGCGGGAGCGCCACATGTGGACCCTGCCATTGGGGGCTTCGGTGGAGCTCCCGATGGGGCCGCGAAGCGTGTGAGAGGGCGTGCCGAAGCGGGCGCGGGAGCGCCATGTGGACCCTGCCCCTGGAGCCCTCGGTGGAGCCCCCTGTGGGGGGCCGCGACGCGTGTGGGCTGGCGTGCGGGATCGGGTGCGGGTATGCCATGTGGACCCTGCCGTTGAGGCCCTCGGCGGAGCTTCCTTAATGGGGCCACGAAGCGTGTGGGAGGGCGTGCCGAATCGGGCGCGGGTACGCCATGTGGACCCTGCCCCAGGGGCCTTCGACGAAGCTCCCCTATGGGGCCACGAAACGCTTCAGGGGTGCGCTGAACCCCTGCAAGGACGGGAGGAGGGAGGAGGAGGAGGAGGAAGAAGGAAGGAGCGAACGCGGGGACCGTCTCTTCAAAACGAGGACCCAACATCACAGGATGATCGGGGAAAACAGGAAAACACCCGAAAATCTTGAAACGGTATCGTCGAATCTCGATCCTGGAACATCGCTCCTCGATCCTGGAGGAGGAGCAACGCCTTGATCTGACCCTAAATCAGACTCATTTCAATGCATCTGTCACGATACCCTGGACCGGTGAACGATGTTGTTTACAGCACTCGCCCCCACCCTCTCTCGTAGAACTGCTTAACCGAAGGGCCTGCCATGCCACACCGCTGGACACTGGCGGGGGATAGGACGAGACTGATGTCGCCTGCCATGCCACCCTGCTGGACATGGGCGGGGAACATGACGCGAATGATGTTGTGATACGAACGGCTCAGGAATACGTTCCAGGATATCTCGGAACGCCTGGAATCTGCAAAATATTGCAACACATCATCATCATCATCATCATCATCATCATCATCATCATCATCATCATCATCATCATCATCATCATCATCATCACAATGATCATCATCATCATAATCATCATCATCCTCATCATCATGATCATCATCAGCATCATCATCATCATCATCAGCATCATCATCATCATCGTCATCCTTATCACCATGATCATCATCATCATAATCATCATCATCCTCATCATCATGATCATCACCATTATCATCATCACCACCACAACCAACATCATCATCATCATCATCATCAACATCAGCAGCAGCATCATCATCATCATCAGCATCATCGTTATCGTTATCGTCATCGTCATCGGCATTGCCATCATGCAATCGTATCATCATCAGCAGCATCAGCAGCATCAGCATCATCAGCATCATTATCATCACCACCATCATCATCACCATCACCATCAGCATCAGCATCGTCATCAACATTCACCATCATCATCATCAGCATCATCATCACCATCACATCCACACCAGCATCATTAGAATCACCACCCGCAACCAACAGCATCATCACCACAACCATCAACAAACTGCATCAGCATGATCAGCATGATGATGATCATCATCATCATCACCATCATCATCATCGTCATGATCATCACAATCGTCATGGCAATCATGTTCATTCTCATCATCACCACCATCATCATCAGCACCAGCACCACCATCATCATCAGCAGCATCATGATCACAATCGTCATTAACATCACCACCACCATCCCCATCACCATCTTCACCAGCATCAGCAACACCATCATCATCAGCATCATCATCATCATCATCATCATCACGCCCTGACCGATTCGCTCCGTCCTCGAGTGACCTCAATCCCTCGCTCTGGCCCGGAACTCGCTCTGGCCGAGTCCGGCCTGCAGCCGCGACGACGCCGACCCCTCCATGGGGGGCTAAGGAGTCAGGCGGCAGGGAGGGCAACAAAAAAACCTCAAGGAACCCCCCCTCTCGGGAGGAGCGGGGAGCCCCCCTCTCGGGAGGAGCCCCCCTCCTCCATCGCGAGAGGAGCCCCCCTCTCGGGAGGAGCCCCCCTCTCGGGAGGAGCCCCCCTCTCGGGAGGAGCGGGGAGCGGGGAGCCCCCCTCCTCCATCGCGAGAGGAGCCCCCCTCTCGGGAGGAGCGGGGCGCCCGCTCCGCGGGGCGGCTGCCCCAGGGCAGCCCGCCGCGCGCGGCGGCGCTCGCGGCCGCCCAGACGGCGCCCGCGAGGGCCCGGCTCAGCGGGCGCTCGGGGCGCAGGCCGGCGCGCCGCAGGCGCCAGGCGAGCGCCGCCCAGACGGCCGCCTTGAGCAGCGCAAGGGGAGCCGGAGCGAGGGGCGCCCCATCCTCCTGGCCAGGAGGAGGAGGAGGAGGAGGAGGAGGAGGAGGAGGAGGAGGAGGAGGAGGAGGAGGGAGGAGGAGGAGGAGGAGGAAGGAGGAGGAGGGAGGAGGAGGAGGGAGGAGGAGGAGAGGAGGAGGAGGAGGAGGAGGAGGAGGGAGGAGGGGAGGAGGGGAGGAGGAGGAGGAGGAGGAGGAGACCCCCGACCAGGCGCCAGAAAGCCAGGTCGGGCGAGCGGCCCAGCGCCGCACGCCCAAGCGAGCAGAGTGGGGAAGGAGATGCGTGCCCCGCCAGGGTGACCGCGCGCGCGGCCCCAGCAGAAGGCGCACACCACACACAGGCACACACGCATCAACAAACGCTCTCATCCTCACCACCCCAGTCTTCCCTCCTCCTCCTCCTCCTCCTCCTCCTCCTCCTCCTCAACCTCCTGCGGCACATGCGCTCTCGCTCAGCGCGAGGTCGCTGACCTGTTCTTCAGGGGCTGAGTGCAGGTGTCTAGCCATACCCATGTTGTACCGTACCTCCTCCTCCTCCTCGCATCCTCCTCCTCCTCGTCGCCCTCTTCCTCCTCCTCCTCCTCCTCCTCCTTCTCCTCCTCTACATCATCATCATCATCATCATCATCATCATCATCATCATCATCATCATCATCATCATCATCATCATCATCATCAGCATCAGCATCAGCATCCGCATCATTATCATCATCATCATCATCATTATCATCAGCATCAGCATCAGCATCAACATCATCATCAGCATCAGCATCATCATCATCATCATCATCATCAGCATCAGCATCAGCATCAGCATCATCATCATCATCAGCAGCAGCAGCATCAGCATCAGCATCATCATCATGCTCATGATCATCAGCATCAGCACCCGCATCAGCATCAGCATCAACTTCTCCTCCTCCTCCTCCCCCTCCTCATGCTCCACCCCCTGCTCCCTCCTTCTCCTCCATCCTCCTCTGCCGCCCCGCGGGTCCTCCCATGCCAGCGACCGCGCCTTGATGCCGTAAGTATGGGAATGCGCCCGCATCCACGCACCGTCGATGCCCTGGCACGTCATCGTCACCGCCGCCGTCGGTCAGTCGTCGCCGCGGCACCTCCGCCGCCGCCTCCTCCACATCCGCCTCCACCTCCGCCTCCGCCTCCTCATCCTTCCGCTCCTCCTCGCCTTCATCCTCCTCCTCCTCTTCTTCCTCCTCCTCCTCTCCCTCCTCCTCCTCTTCCTTCTCCTCGTGCCCCCCTCTCTGCCTCGCTTTCTCCACCTCTCGCTCTTCCGTTTTTGTTGTCTCTCTCTCTCTCTCTTTCTCTCTGTTCTCTCTCTCTCTCTCTCTCCCGATGTATGCACGTATGATGTAATGCAGCCCTCCTGTTGTCCTCGTCGTAGCTTTCTTCCACCGGCATAGCCTCCACCCATCCTCCTCCTCCTCCTCCTCCTCCTCCCTCCTCCTCCTCCGCCTCCTCCCCCTCCTCATTCACAACCTCCTCCACCCCCCTCCTCCGCCTCCTCTCCCTCCTGACGCACCTCCTCCTCCTCCTCCTCATTATCCTCCTCCTCCTCCTCCTCCTCCTCCTCCCCCTCCTCCTCCTCCTCTTCCTCCTCCTCCCTCCTCCTCCTTATCCTCCTCTTCCCACCCACAAACTCACCTGGCATGGAATGGGGCTCAAGCTCGGTAAACTTCGGTAGAGATCGGTAAAGCTCGGTAAAGTTCCGCATGCTCCCATGCTGCTACTCGCCCTCCTCAACCTCCCCCTCCTCTTCCTTACCCTCCACTTCCTTATCCTGCTCGTCCTCCTCATCCGCCTCCTGAACTCGTCGTCGCCGTCGTCGCCGAAGTCAGCGAACGTCGCCGACACCGCCCTCCTCTCCGTCATCGAAAGCCGTTGTAGTTGTCGTCATCGCGGTTCGTCGTCGTCGTCGTCATCGCGGTTCGCCGGCGTCGTCGTCGTCACCGCCGCCGTCGTCTGTGGATCCCGTCGCCGCTGCGGTCGTCGCCTGGCCCCAGAGGTGGAGGGCGCCCAGCTCGTCGGGCTCCACGACGGACCACACGCGACCGAGCCTGGCCCGCGGCGGCGGAAGGGGAAGAGCGCGGCGGGCACGCCACGCAGCACGCGATGGCGCTGCGGGGCAGCAGAGGTCCAGCCGCTGGGGGAAGTGGGGAGGGCGTCCGCTTCTCCCGCGGGCCTGTTCGCCCACGGACCCCATCCATCACCCGCTGCTCCTGCATGGGTCCCCCCATCGCCCTCCCGCTCGCTCGTCCCCCGTCCTCCTGCCTGCTGCTCCTGCCTCGTCCTCCTCCACCATCCTCCATCTCATCCTCCTCCTCTTCTTCCTACTCCTGCTCCTTCTCCTCCTCATCCTCCTCCAACTTCTCCATCACACCCACCTCCGTCTCCTCCTCCTCCTCCTCCTCCTCCTCCTCCTCCTCCTCCTCCTCCTCCTCTTCCTTCTCCTCCCCCGTCTCCCCCTCCTTCTTCTCCCCTTGCTGCTGCTGAGCCTCTTCCTGCCTCCTCCCGCCTCCCTCCCTATCCTCGCCCTTCCCTCCTCCCGTCCATCCCCCCCTTATTTGTCCTTCTTGTCCACCCCCTCTTGTCTCTCCTCTCCCTGTTGGCGGGAGAGGGGGGCAGGGGGGAGAGGAGCGAGGCGGGGGGGGGGGGATGAGAGGGGGAAGAAGGGGCAGGAGGGAATGGGGAGGAGGAGGAAGGAGGGACAGGAGGGGCAGGCTGGAGAAAGGAGGGGAAGCGCCCCCCCTCGCCCGCACGTGGTGGGGGGCGGGCCGAGGGGGCAAGGGCTGCACCGCAAAGCAGGGCCCGGGGGGGGGGGTCGTGCGGGCGAGCTCTCGCCCAGCTTACCGCGGGCCGAGGGCGGCAGATGGGGAGGGCGGCGGAGGACCGCTGCTCGTCGTCCCTCATGGCGAGGCCCCAACGCTCTGCTCGAGTGGCGTCTGGCTGTGACCACGGGCGCCCCCCAAGTCCCCAGAAGGCCCAAAGCTGCCGTCCGAACCAAGATCTCCAGGGGATTGGTGTGCTCCGTCCGTAGGCCAGTCGACCCTTGTGAAGATTTTCTTGTTCGGCGTTTCGGCATCGGGCGGGAAGAGTGGGTGGTTTGGCTTCGGACCTCTGCTCAGTGCGACTGTTTGCAGCTGTGCGTCCCATCGGGGGGAGACCCCACCTGCTCGAAACAGGCGCCCAGAACAGCCAAGATATACTCCAGGGGGGGGGAAGGGAGGGGGGGTGCGAGGAGTCAGAATCGGGGATGGACAGACCTCGGGCCCAAACCTGGCGGCAGCAAGCCCGGAAAATGACGGCCGCGGCGCCCTCCCGAGAACCGAAAACAGACAATCCACCAATCGACGTGTCAGGGTAGGAGGTTTGTCCACCCCCGATAGACATGAAATCGGCTCGGCGGCGACGGCAGGGGAGAATAGCCCAGGGCGGGCATTACACGCATTCGCCTGGGAGCCTTTTCGAAGACATAGATCATCGGCACACCTGAGTGCAGGTATTGCTCTCCCATGGGCTATTCGCCCGTAGCGTCGCCTCTGATCGGCGTTCTACAACGTGTTTGCCACGCCGCCACAGCCTGGCAGGAGCCCTCGAGGGCGAGGGCGGGGAGAGGAGAGGGGAGGGGAAGGCGGGGAGGGGCAGAAGGGCGAGGAGGAGGATGGCGGGGAGGGGGAGGAGAGCGACGAGGAAAGCGACGAGGAGGGTGGCGATGAGGAAAGGAGGAGGGCGGGGAGTGTGAGGAGGGGGGGCCCAAGAGGCGGAGGAGGAAGAGATGGATGACGAGGGAGGCCAGGAGGAAGGCGGGCGGAGGGGAGAGAAGGAGGATGGCGGGGAGGGGGATGAGGAGGAGGGCGACGAGGGGGATGCCGAGGTGGAGGGCGAGGGCGAGGAGAAATGTTGCGGGCAGGGCGAACGGCGCCTCGAGAGGTGTGTGGAGTCCTCGTGCGTCACGATCAGAAGGCTTGCGCTCGGCGCCGCGCACAGCCCGCTGACCCCGAAGCGCGGGTCCTCGAACGTGCGCAGGGCGTCGGGCTGCATGGACCTGCCGTGGCCGCCGCCCCGTTTGCTCACTGCTGCCGCCGTGCTGCCACACAGCGGAGGCCAGTCCACGAAAAACCTGCCACATAAAAACCCAACCTTGAGACCCCAGGACTTCACTTGTGATGTTTGGTGTGGGAGCGTCGCGATCACCACCGCAAAACCATCGAAACCCTAACCAAAAACCCAGAGCACCCTGGAGGCCAGCACGGTGTTTCTTGGCATGGGCCCCCCACTGTGGGAAACGCATGACAAGAAACGAAAGGGTTTTTTTCTCTGGCCACGGCGGGCTTTGGCACAAACAAATTCCACGACGTACATCTCCGGAGCGGCCTGAACACTTGAGACCTTCCTGAACACAACACGGTCCTTGTTTCAGCATCTTTGAACTAGAGAGTCCAGGATTCTTTGGGGATTGGTTTCCTGTCAAGACAGCCGGAACCCTGAAGACCCTCCGAAAACCCTCTAGAGGGTTCTGGGAGGCTTTTCGGACGGTCTCTGGAAGGTTTTGGAAGGGTGTCCGTCGCTTTTCTGGACGCCCGACATGGGTACCGAAAAAATGGGTACGATGCCCAACAACAAATGTTGTCCCAAACCCACAGCGGGCGCTGTTGGGCAGGCGGCCCCCTGTCTCGAATGGACACGGGCCGCGGCGGCGCGGACAGCGAGTCCTGTTCAAAAGGAGCAGGAACTGCTGTTGGACATTGTACCCATTCTTTCCGTGCCTATCTCGTTCGTGCAGATTGGGGGGATCCACTCCCTAGCAAGCCCGGCACCACCGCCGCCAGCGCGTCGAGAAAGGGGCTTTCCTCCCAGCGTTGTGGCCCGCCCCTCGCGGGAAAACAACTGCGATGTCAAGCTCGGGGAAGCATCGCGGACCTCCTCGCTGGAGGAGGAGGAGGAGGAGGAGGAGGAGGAGTAGTAGTAGTAGTACGCAGCTGATGAGCAATGAATGTACTGTGCCGTGCAAACTCACGTGCCGTGGAAAAATCGGACACGAGCACGCTACACGCGCCGCGCTGCTCGCACAGGGAGGCGGGACCGACCGAGGACCGACACGGGCCCGACCGAGGGGGACCGAAGGCGGGGCGAACGAGGGCCCGAGCGGCCGCGAGGGGGGGGCGAGAAGCAGGCGGGCGAGGGCCACTACGCACAAGTCAAAATCGCATAAGCGACTGCCCGCTGTCCGTGGCCTCAGACCACTACATCGTTACCCTGGTGCCGCGGCAGCACAGCCACGCTCGAAGGCGCGGCGCTGTGCGCGGCCACACATCGATGGCCAGGTCCACGGCCAAGCTTCACACCTAGCGACCCGAGCATGCCGAACAGGTAAGCGCACGCCGCTGGTGATGGCAATGGTCCGTGGCTGCCCTCACGCTGATACGTCGATCCACTCCGAGAGTTCTTCTCCCATAACCCCAGTCAGGTCGGTGACCATGAACACACTCTTGATCATGTTCGACTGGTAGCAATTCACGCGGCGGCAGAACATCACGAAATCTGGCGGGTCGCCCACCATGGCCGCCGACCACTCCACGAGCGTCTGCCAGTTGGCGCGCCCCACCTCCATCTTTGCCAAGCACTCGACCATCGCGGAGTCACCCGCGTCCCTTGCCGCCTTTTTCTTGTTCTTGAACAGATTGACCTTGTCCCTCAGTGCCCGCGCGTTGAACGAGAACGTCTGGGCCTCCACCTGCCAGGCATTGGCATCCTCCATGCAGTCCTCCAAGATCACCGTCTTCATGCTCATGCCCCTCACCGCGCGGCACCGCCGCGCACGTTGGGTGTCCCGTAGCCTCGACCCCATCGCTGGCACCACGTCCTGCTTGCTCCGAATCAGCGCATACTGCCGTGCTGCCGGCGACTGGTCCATGTACATGTCGTTCCTCTTGGGTACCACCACACCGTCCGCAGCGTAGGCCATATCCTTCGGCACCAGCAGCGGCTTGCAGAAATAGTCCATGGGCGCGCCTACGCAGGAGCCCACCATGAACTTGCAGGAGGTGATGGTCGTGCACTCAGCGTTCTGTCTTCTCTCGAAGGCCGCCCACACGTGGACCACGTGATAGTTCTGCATGAGAGTCTCTGGCACCGACGAGTCGCCCACGGGGCGTCCGCTGCCACTGCGAACGGCACACCTCGCATCGACCGCGTCGATACTCACAGTGAGGTTGCACCTGCGGGTCCTCGTCACGTTCGTGGCGTAGCGGATGTCCTCCTCATCCAGCTCCTTGATCAGGTGTGCCGTGTGCCCCGTCATGATCGCCCTACTCTCCAGCATCACGAAGGCAGCACGATGGGACTCGGGCTCATTCTGCAACTCCTCCAGCAACTCTTCTCGCCCTTCACCAGTGAGAGTCGCCTGGCTGAGTTTGGTACGGTCCCACCTCTCACGCATGGGGGTGCTCTGGCCGTAGGAGCCCGCGAAGGTGGGGCCGCAGTCGTGGCACGTGTTGATCGCCATCCTTCCCACCGTGCAATGCCAGCCATGCGCCCGCCGCTGGTCGCACATGTCCGAATAGACTTCGGGGCTGCCCGCCTTGTTCGGCTTGGGGGGGAGCACCATCACCGCAATCATCACCTGCTCCGACTGGGAGCGCCAGATGCCCATCCCCCCGACCCACGTCTCGTTCAGCATGATGGCACCTCCACACGCCTTCGTACCCTGCCGACTCCAGAGCCACCCGACCAGAATGGTGTGGTGGTACGTCGCCGTGTCCGCATGGTGGTACGCCGCCTGCCACGCGCGTACCCTTGTCCCAGGCACACCATTGTTGCCCACGTTGCGCAGCACCGTCGAGACCCCGTCGTGGTGGTATTCCGTTACCAGCGAGTGGGGGTACGACGAGCCCAGGAAGCACCAGCGCAGGGCGCCGACGACTCCAATCCACGTGGCCATGATCAGCTTCAGCATGGAGCCGCAGGCACAGCGCCCCACGGCGCGCATCGCGCGGCGCCTGAGCGGCAGCGTGCCGCCAACCCCAGGTGGGGCGGCACACAGGGATCAGCGCCTGCGGGCCGCGGCAGCCCCCATCACAGCAGGGCAACCTCGGGGCGGCCGCCTCTGGCAAGGGGGGGTCTGGGCCGCGTCGGCGGCTGAGGAGGAGGAGGAGGAGGAGGAGGAGGAGGCGGAGGAGGCGGAGGCGGAGGAGGAGGAGGAGGAGGAGGAGGAGGCGGAGGAGGCGGAGGAGGAGGAGGTGGCCCCCCGTGGTGGCGGTGGTGGCGTCGCTGCTCCTCCTTCCTCCGATCTCGGGTGGGGCGAGGGGTTCGGCGAGTCCGGGTCCTGACGAAACCAGGGCCTGTGCAAGATCAAGACGGACCGTGGATCTCTCAGATCCAGATCGCTCTGGAAGCGTTCCGGAACGCTCTGGAGCGATTATCCTGCTCCTGACCCCACTCGATCCTTCCTCACGGCCCCTTCTCTCTCTCTCTCTATCTCTTTCTCTTTCTCTTTCTCTCTCTCTCTCTATTTCTTTCTCTCTCTCTCTCTTTCTATGTTTCTCTCTGTTTCTTTTGTTTTGTTGTTGTTGTTGTTTGGTTGTCTCTCTCTCTCTCTCGTCCCCCCTCTCTCTCTCATTTTCTATCTTTCAACGCCGCGCGGCGGGCGATCGCCGGGCCGCGCGCGCTCGTTGGCGCCCCAAGGAAGCCCGCAGTTGCGCGGCCGCGTGACGCACCAACGCCCGGGCACGTCGATTTCCAGTCTTTCGAGGATGGGGGGGGGAAGGAGCAGGGGCCCGCCCATCCTTTCCCGCATCCCGAGGCACATCAGGGAGGAAGGGAGAAAGGGTAGTCGCTGCCTGCGAGCCTGTCCTGCGCGCGCAGCCCATGCGTTGCCAGGTAAGCCTTAAATCCTCCTCCTCCTCCTCCTTCTCATCCTCCTTTTCCTCCTCCTCCTCCTCCTCCTCCTCCTCCTCCTCCTCCTCCTAGCCCTCCTCTTCCTCCTCCTCCTCCTTCTTTTCCTCCTCCTCCTCAGACCCCCTCCCCCTCACCCTCATCCGCCCTCCCTCCTCCTCCTCCTTGTTCCCCCGGCGCCCGACCTGATGGCCGTTTCCACGTGCGAGTCGAGAGCGAGGAACTGCCGGAGCTGCTGGCTCGTCCTCGTGTCGGGGCCTGGGAAAGCCAGTGGCGGTGGAAGGGGGAACGAAGGCTGTGGAAAGGAGGAGAAAGGGGGAGGGGAGGAAGGGAGGAGGGGAGGGTGGGGGGCAAGCTAGGTGCGCTCGCGTCAGATCTGACGTCCTACCCCTCCCCCCAATCCCTCACCATGGCGTAGATGTCCTCTCTATCCGCACAGGTCGGATGTCGAGCAGGGCAATGATCGCGAGAGGGTACGCGATGCATGGTGGAATACGGCATGGCATGGCGTAGGACAACACTGCAGAGCGTAGCATGCCATAGCATGGCGTGGCATTGCGCAATGAAACATTGCATCACACAGCATTGCAACACAAAGCATGGTATCACACAGCGGCGCAGAAGACAACACCGCAAAGCATGTCATAGCATGGCGCCAGTTTCTGTGGAGGGTACGTGGATCGTCCTCGAGAGGTCTGGGTCGGTCTGGAGTCGTGGCTCCATGTCTAGCTCCTTGGGTTCCCCGAAAAGCTCCACACAAGCCGGGGCTGATGGAAAGCACCCGCTGGCTCTGCTGACAACATCGCCTTCTCGAAGCAGAAATGGAGCCCCTGCTTGATACTTCCTGAAAGCGACGACGCCCCGAAGCGGGGGGGGGTCCGCGGCCCAAAAAATCAATGCATCGACACAGAATGTCGGATCACTTCTGATTGTTTTTTCGCATGGCCATTTTCGAAATGTTGGGGCCTATTTGGAAGAAAGGCCAGCGCTGCAGCGGGAGCACGATTCGGAACGAGCGGAAGCCCGAAACTGAGGTCAGCGCTTCAGTGGGAACAGTATTGCGTTTTTCCTTTGAAAACATTATCCCAGTGCGACCCTACCTAGGAGTTGGAGCCTCCAGGAAAACAACATTAGTAGGAGCGGTGGGCGCCGTCCTCCTCCTTCTCATCGTCGTAGTTGTAACAGTAGCGGTAGTAGTAGTAGTAGTAGTAGTAGTAGTAGTAGTAGTAGTAGTAGTAGTAGTAGTAGTAGTAGTAGTGGTGGCAGCAGTGGTAGTAGTGGTAGTAGTGGTGGTAGTAGTAGTAGTAGTAGTAGTAACAGCAGTAGTAGTAGTAGTAGTAGTAGTAGTCGTAGTCGTAGTCGTAGTCGTAGTCGTAGTAGTAGTAGTAGTAGTAGTAGTAGTAGTAGTAGTAGTAGTAGTAGTAGTAGTAGTAGTAGTAGTAGTAGTAGTAGTAGTAGTAGTGGTAGTGGTAGTAGTAGTAGTAGTGGTAGTAGTGGTAGTACTATTAGTTATAATTATTACTAGTAGTAGTAGTAGTAGTAGTAGTAGTAGTAGTAGTAGTAGTAGTAAAAGCCGTAATAGTAGTAGCCGTAATAGTAGTAGCAGTAGTAGTAGTAGTAGTCGTAGTAGTAGTCGTAGTAGTAGTAGTAGTAGTAGTAGTAGTAGTAGTAGTAGTAGAAGTAGTAGTAGTAGGAGTAGTAGGAGTAGTAGCGCCAGAACCGCCGCAAGTGAAGCAGCAGCAGAAGCAGGCAGCAAATCACCGAAACAGCAGCAAAAGCAAGCAGGCACGGAGATGATGGCGGGGCACTGGTGAGTTCTTTACATCTACATCTATATCTACACATACATCTACATCGACACCTACATCAACATCTAGACCTACATCTACATCTACAACTACACCTACAGCTACATCTACACCTGCATCTACATCTACATCAACAGCGAGACACACATCTACCTCTACATCTACACCTACATCTACACCTACATCGACATCTACATCTACACCTACACCTACATCCACATCTACACCTACACCTACATATACATCTACATCTACACGTTCGCATTGGTGTTGTGCTTGCTTTGCATTGCCTTTGCTTTTGCTCTTGAATTTGCTTTGGCCTTTGCCTTTGCTTTTGCTTGTGCTGTTGCAGTTGATTGTGCTTTGCGTTTGTTGTTACTTGGTCTTGCTTTTGCGTTGCCTGCGCACAGACACACACACACGCATGTGTTTGCATTCGCTCACCGGGTGTGCTTGAGAATGCTCCGGATCCGCATATAAAGTACACATACAAGTACCTATATAAACATAAGTATATATGTATGTACATAGATATACGTTTATGCATATACATGTACATACATAAGCATACAAATCCTCTTTGATAACTGCGCACGCACATATACGTGTATATACATACAACTGTATAGCAGCAGTAGTGGATGCTGTGCTGCGCTATGCTATGCTGTGCTATGCTATGCTATGCTATGCTGCGCAATGCTATGCTGGGCTAGGCTAGGCTAGGCTAGGCTATGCCGCGCTATGCTATGCTGCGCTATGCTATGCTATGCTATGCTATGCTATGTGTTTGCTGTGCCTTCGCTTTTGCCTTCACTTTCGCCTTTGCTTTTGCTTTTGCTTGGCACCCAAGGAGCGCAACTAGGGGAACCGCGCGTTTGCTTTAAACTTTGCTATTGCTTTTGCTTGGCTCCCAGGGGACCAGGGGAACCGCCAGGGGCGGGTTACACTGCCCAGCCCCTTTAAGCCAACAGAGTAAGAACCCTTCTAGGTAGGGAATGAAGAAATTCTGCAAAACAAAGTCCTGGGAATCCTTTCCCAAAAAACTATACGCGGAGAGGGGGGGCGATATGTTCCAGACGTCATCAGGGGAGAGAGGAGAGTAGTATTCATAGTGTGTTTGTGAAGGGGGGAGAGAGGAGGGAGACGAGGAGAGATGGAGGAGGGGGGAGAACGTGGAGGGGGACAGTGGAAGGAGTGCCGGGTGGAAGGAGGGAGGAGGGAGGAGGGAGGAGGGAGTGGGGGGGGGAGGGGAAAAGGGGGAAGGAGTGCCAGGGCCGCAGCATCAGAAGAAGACGCACCCGCGGCGTCCAGGGCACCCGCGCTGCACGGCGGGCACGGCACAGCGCGCGCGACGATCTCCCGAGTCGGGGGCCTCCCAAAGGGGTCCAGGCAGGCGGGGTCGGAGGATCGCGCCGCATCGCCGATGCATCAGCGATTTCGGCGTGGAGGGGATGGGGCTGCACATCGAGACGCAAGAGAGCATGACCGGGGCGGAGGGACAGGTGATCCAGCGGCAATCCGAGAAGTCCCCGCGCCCCTTTGAAAAGTTTGTCGAGGTAGATCTGCACATATGTGTTATGTGTGCGTATACGGACGTAAATGTTTGATTATATACACTTGTATGTGGACGACGATATAAACATACATACTTAGATTCATACACGCATGTGTACATACACACATACATATATACATACATACATGCATGCATGCATGCATACGTACAAACACCCAAACACACAATCATTACATGCATGCATACATTCCGACATACATGTATACGCACATGCATACATGCATGCATGAATGCATGCATGCATGCGTACATACACACCTTTATACACACATACACAGACATAAACGCATGCGTACACACCTATGTATATATATATACATGCATGCATGCGTACGTCTATACATACATACATACATGCATGCGTCCATGCATGCACACATATGCATACATACATACATACATACATACAATCTTACGCACATACACACATACGCGCATGCGCAAGTATGCGCATTCATATACGCATCTACAGACTTGCATACCCACGCATGCGGATCCACATACATATCTACATACACGTGTACATGTACGTATGCTCAGACACACCTAAACATACACATAAACACATCCATGTACATATGCATACACGCATGTGTACATGCATGTGTATACATAAATGTTGTGAATGTGCATGTGTATGTATGTACGTATGCATGCATTCATGCATGCATTCATGTTTGCATCGCTAGAACCGCGCGCGCGCTTCACGCGCGCTTAGGTTCTGGCGCAGACCTGCCGATTGCGAATGCGAGCTCGGACAGGAGAAGGGCAGGCGGATCGGCTGGAGCATCACAATCTCAGCTGCGTAAGTATTGCCCCCATCCGTCTCCTCCGCCTCCTCCTCCCCGTGATCCTGCTCCTGCCCGTGCGTTCCTACTAGTTATTCCCTTCACCTCGGCCTCTTCCTCGACCTCTCCGCTCTTCATGTCCATGTCCTGCCAGTCCTCCTTCTCCTCCTCCTGATCCTTCTGCAGGTCCTCCTCTTCCTCCTTCCATCCCCCGTCTGCTCCTCCCCTCCTCCCCCGCCCGTTCTCCTCATCCCTATCCTGTTCCTTCGCCTCCTCCTCCTCCTGCCGTGTCTCCCTCTCCTCGGCGAACGTCGATTTGGGCATCAACATGGACGCCCTCCAGCACCTCTCGGGGAACATCGTGTGGGTGCGGACCCGTGGCCTCCACAGGACCTTTCGGAGGTCTCCGAGAGCCCTGTGGAACTATTTTGAGGGCCTCCAGGGACGTCCAAGACGCCTCTTGGGCCAACTGCGGAGCGTCGTTGCGGCTTCCTGTCGGCCAGCCAGCGGCATCGGCTTTTTGGGGGCTCCTCTCAGGGGTCTTTTGGAAGCGTCCGTCTCGGGCATTCGTTGGGCCTCTGCTTTGGGCCTCCGTTTGGGGTCTCTTGGGGCCTCTCCGGGGCTCCTTCGGGACGCGTCCCGGGGCGTGCCACACGTCCTCAGATGGGCCCCGGCGGGCCAAGAAACTTCAAGATGGCCCAGGATAGCGCCAAGACGTCACAAGATGGCATCAAAGATGGCCCTCGGGGCTGCCACGACGGCCCAGGAGCCGGGAGCGGGGAGACAAACCCACCCCCGGGCCGACGACGACGACTCGGGAACCACGCCAGCAGCACTGGCCCACGGCAGCCAGCAGCACCGGCGGGCGGCTGCCACCGCCGACGCCGACGACAGACGGCAGACGACCGCCTCCAGACGACCGACGACCGACGACGACGACGGCGACGACAACGACGACAACGACAGACGACAGACGACAGACGACCGACGACGACGACGACGACAGACGACCGACGACCGACGACGACGACGAGTGCGACCACCGTTCAGAAAGCGACGGCTGCCTCCCGGGGCCCCCTGGAGCCC